TTGTTTTTTCCAGAGTGTCTTGGCTTTCCATGCCTAAAATACTCTCATGGGCTCTTCAGCCAGATCCGAGTGCCTTAAGGGCTGATTCTGAGGCCAGAGTGCTGTTTAGGACATCTGTCATTCTACGAGTCTGCTGTGTATCTCATTTCCCATGTTGGATCATTCTCTCCCTTTTTTATTCTATCAGTTAGTATTCGCAGACACTAGTCTTGTTTGTGTGATCCCTTTGACTCTTAGACCTATCAGTGTGATCAATTGTGAACTGAAATTGATCACTTGGACTAGTGTGATGGCATTGGTACATGCAACCTTGATGGGGCTGTATTGGAATCCCCTGGCACATTTCTAACTCCACCATTTGGGGCAAGTCCAATTGAGCCTTTCAGAACTTTTGAAAATATTTATTTATTTATTTAAGAACCAGTTACAGAGAGATGGAGAAACAAAGAAATCTTCCATGCACTGGTTCACCCCTCAAATGGAAGCAACAGCCAGGGCTGGGCCAGGCTGAAGTTAGTAGCCAGGAACTTCATCCTGGTCTCCCATGTGGGTTCAGGAGCCCAAGCACTTGGGTCATATTCCACTGCTTTCCCAAGCCATTAGCAGGTATCTGGATCAGAAGTCGAGCAGCTGGGACATGAGCTGGAGCCCACAGGGGATGCTGGCATGGCAGGCAGTAGCTTTACCTGCTGCACCTCAGTGCTGGTCCTCCTGCCAGCACTTTTGAAGTTTCAAATCCTTTCCAAATTTTTCCTTGACTACCCAATTTCCAGAGTGATTTTTTTTCCTTTTTCTTCATAACTAAAATAAATATTCGCTCTGATTTTCATTTGGCATTAATTATGTGTCATTTCATGGTTTACTTCACATTATTTTAATACTCATATTGATACTTTAAAAGCTCATGATTTAGATAAATTCTGATTATTCTTGCGACCTGTCCTTTATCTAAGTATGTTTTACTATGCTTCTTTGTTCACTTTGTGTTAATTAATGCAATGGTACACACAGAAGCACGTTCTGATTCCAAGTTATGTCATTTAGCTATGTGCCTCAGGTTACTCCATTCTCTAGACCTGATGTTTCCTGATCTGTAAGTCAGGGATAATGACTCTTGTAATTATCATTGTAATTATTAGTAATAACATAGGTAAAATAACTTTTATAATGATAGTGCATCAGCCTAATTTGGGATAATCAGATTTTTAATTTTAGCTGGTACTCAGAAAATACATCCTCCTGAAGTGTTCAACTAAAATAAAAACAACAAAACAGTACCATTAAAGTAGTTTGATGTTTCTTAACATTTTAATGTATAGCATAGTCTATCAACAATGCATGATGTGTGTGTGTTCTCTTATAGAACATCTTACAAATCAAGACCGTATACAATAGGTTTTTGAGTGACTCAAATCCACTTAATGTTGGATATATTAGAATCTGGGGTATGAACTCTGGTCATGTAAATCAAGTCAATTTCACCTATAACAACGAGCTATTCATGGAGATGAATTTTAGGAGTGACCCTTATAATCAGGTATGTCTAAAGGAATAGTATCATAATCTAATTATATTCTGAAAAATCATCAACATTATCATTTTTATGTATATATATTAGAGACATTATAAATATGTACAATATGATGTACATAGTTACAAGTGTTGAGTAATATTGTAAAATGCACAGTGTTAGTTCTCCCAGTATAATCCAGAAATCAGTGATCAGTGGCCTGATTTAATCTTTTCCACATGTTTACCAAAGAAATTCTGCTTCCCCAGGCCATAGCAGAGAGCTGGATCAGAAGTGGAGCAGCCGGGTCTCAAACTGATGCCCATATGGGATGTCAGTGCTTCAGGCCAGGGTGTTAACCCGCTTCACCACAGCGCCAGCCCCTGATATTGTTTTAATATGTTGGTTTTCCAGACTAGCAGAACAACACCAATTTACTTCTGCTTCAGAGACTAAAACTGCAAAAAGAGTGATTCCCTAAAATTGTTTGTTTTCCCTTTTTGCTAAAGCCATTTGCACTTGTAGTCATTTGATGGATTTTATAGGTTGATGAAAATTGGCAGTACAATATGGTCATCATCAAATGAATATATTCCAGCTGTGGTATAAGATAAAATTATTTGGTTAACAAAACAGAGTGACATAAAAAATAGACTCAAGGTCTGCTGTGAGTTGCTAGAATTAATTACACCAGCATTTTGAAAGATGAATTACTAATAGAATTACCAAGAACAGCCACAAAGGGAAAAGGATTACACTGTAGAATATGAAACTAATCACAAGTATGGGTCCAGTATCCCACAAGGAATGGTTTAGGAAAGTGAACATGGATTACTATAGTTTGTGTTCTCTAAAAGGTGTGAAAGATACCCGGACAGGATTTGAATTCTGAAAAGTGATCCTTCTGAACACCCAAACAGATCCTTTTTCTCTTAATACTTATGTATTTTAAATATTTTAAAATATTTGCCTCAAGCCATTGAGTTTAAAATGATTCCTTGCAAATAATTGCATATACTTAAGACTGATATAGAAAATTTTTGAATACTTTCTTCTAGAAACCATATGGCTTATCAGGTGCCTGTTATCTACCAGGTACTTTATGAGCTTTTGGGAAAAGAGAAAGAATGAAACCGGATTGCCATCAGGAAGGCCAAAATCCAATGGCAAGACAAAGAGACATTAATGAACAGTAGTTTAAATAACTGCTGAGCCTATTTGTGAAGACAGTGATTCTGATGAAATGGAGTAGAAAGAAGCCCAGGCATTATGCACATAGAGCATCTCTCATATTAATCTGACAGGGAATCAACATGAACTGAAAAGGAATGTTTACACCCTGTTATTCTCAGAAAAGAATGAATATGCCATTTTTGTTACAGTACAATTTGAGATCTTACTAAAACTGCTATGTAAGATTTCAAGTACCAACTTTCTCTTCTTCTCTGGCAGACACTAACAATTCAATGGACCGACAAGAATATCAGCCTGGAAAAGTTAACTGAGGTTATTTGGACTTATGGTGATCCTATACATCCTACTTCTGCTATGACAAGTACCTTTCCAATAAGTTCTCATCCATCTCCAGTGACTACAAAGACTACTAGTTTTGAGACTATCACTAGTTCTACTACTGCAAATACTGCTGTTAGTACTACTGATGCAACAACTGGTACAGGAGTTACTAATGCACCTACTCTGTATCCTACAAGCACCAGTTCTACTGTTCCCAGTATAACCACTCCTTTCCCCACAAGTACTATCGATGCAACAACTAGTGGCCTTGATAAAACCACTTCTTTCCCCATAAGTACATTTGATGCTACAAGTAGTACCAGTGTTCCTGACACAACCACGCTTTACCCACTTTTGACTACTACTGATATCAATAGTGCAACTGTTCCCACAAAAACAACTCCTTTGACCATAATTACTACAAATCCAACAACTGTTACAAGAGATCCTGGAACAAATACTCCTTCACCTACAAATAGTGCTACAGACAGCACCAGCGCTACCATTTCTATCGTTACTCCTTTCCCCACAAATACTATTGAGGTTACAACTAGTGCTACTTCTGCTGGTACATCTGTTCCTACTGCCTCCAATACTACTATTGTAAGTAGTAATACCAGCA